GGGTCAAATATGGACAAACCCACATGTTGGGTTAAAAATGCAATTTAAAAATGTACAGTTGAAAGTGATTAACGAAATGTAAGAAATTACATTTTTTATCCCAACATTTGGGTTTGTCCATATTCTACCAAAATTTGGATTAAAACAACCCAGCATTGTTTAGAGTGTAGAAAGCGTTTGTCTGAAATCAATTAATGTCTATATTTAGACAGTTCATTAAAGTAGTAAAACAAAAAAAAACTTTTGCTGATAATTTACTCGCCCCCATGTCATCCAAAATGTCAAAATCTCGAAAAAGTCTTCAGGCGAAAAGAAATTAAGGTTTTTGATGAAAACATTCAATTTTCTCCATATAATGGACTTCAATGGGAACCAAACGGTTCAAGGTCCAAATGAGAGTTTCAGTGCAAACTGTTCAAACGATTCCAGACGATGAATAAGGGTTTTATCAAGTGAAACGATCGCTCATTTAATAAATAACAAAGTTTAAGTTTTATAAGCTCAAATGGTCGCCTTGCTCTGTTCTGTGATGCGCGTTCGTGACTCTCCTGTTCATCAAAATGAACAAATCTTTTCTTCGAGTCATCGAAGGGTCCTTGATAAGACCCTTATTCATCGTCTGGTTTCGTTTAAAGCTCTATGAAGCTGCACTGAAACTCTCATTTGAACCGTTTGGTTCACCTTATAAACCTTAATTTCTTTTCGACTGAAGAAAGAAAGACATGGACATCTTGGATGACATGGGGGTGAGTAAATTATCAGCATTTTTTTTTTTTTTTTAAAGTGAACTACTCCTTTAAGTCATCACCTGTCGCTCCAAACTCACATGACGCTATTATCAAAAGATCAAACAATGATCACTGGCTGTCAACTTTGTCTCTAATTTAAGTTCAGTTGTAATTTAACATTTTTTTTCTTAATTCATGCTCCCTCCAAATAAATGTAAAAATGTAGTGTGATTCCACTGCCCATGGTAAAGTGTTGTCTTTATTCTCAATGAAAGCCATCATTGCCTAAACCCCTCGTTCCGTCTGCAGTGTGATCCGACTTGAGCATCGAGGAGAAGAGCGACGGCGTTTGTTTGCAAGGATGATCTTAGCCTGAGGCGGTTCGCATTAATTAAAAAGTGCGGCAGCAAAAGCTCGAGGGCTTGAGTTTGGGTTGGAGTGAATGGGAGGAGATGTGAGAAGATCTCAGACTCGTGTGAGATGCTAAACTCCTGCACAGTGACAGAACTGATGACTAATTCAGAGCTGTTTGTGCTGCTTTATGTAAGTTACTGGTGGAGTTACATAAGTCTTTTCCATCTCAGCACAAACTTGCAGCACTTTGAAGTCGAACAGGGTTAAAGGGTACGAACACACACACACACACACACACATATGCTCTCGAACACCAGGAGCATTAGTTCTCTGTGGCCTGTAGAGATGGTTTAACTGAAACGCTTTTGATCTAACGCTCCCAAACGGGAGAAAAGCAAATGTTTCTACAAGCAAAGCTACTTGCTGATGTGTCAATACAACAAACACGCACACAGCAGGGACTTTCCATTGACTTCTGCGGTTTTTACACAGAGCTAACCGACTAAATCTCAATAGTTCATCTGAATAGCTCAATTAAGATATTTTATACTACAGGGCTGTTGAATGCTGGATTCTGATTGGTTGAGAACGTTCTAAGGCGTGCGATTATTTTCAGGGAAACGCGCGGCTAAAGTAGTTTCGGCAGGTTAAAAGTAGTTCCGGCAACTCCATATCACTGCGTGTAGTTAAATGTAATAACGGAAAACAGGATACAATTCATAACGAGAAGACTATTTATAACTATTTATTTAATAAATAAAGTATGTTGTCCTGTCTATAATAGGCTAAATAGAATATTAAACTGAATAGGCTATATAAATAAATTGATAGTCCTGCTGCACGGATTGTCGTAATTATTCCACATAATATAACAAATAAATAATTTTTGATCGGCCAACTTGTTAAAAGGGCTTTGTGTTTTTCATTTATTGGGTTTTCTATTGTCAATTATAGAAAACAAGAATGAACGAATTATTTAAAACGAATTTAATTAACAAATAAATAATAATATTGACGCACATGCTTTTCTTTCTCATTATTTCAACATCTCTCTCTCTCAAATAACTGAATTATGAATGTAATTTGATACTTCTGACTGACTTTTCACAGTCGGTGTGTAAGACCAGCTACAGTCGATGGAAACAGTCGGTCTTCGAATATCTCAGCGAGTCGTCAGCGAGACATGACATCATGACTTTTGCCTAAACATACACGCCACTTTCGAGTCAAGTGGCGTGTTATCTCTACGCATTTTGAGCTATCCGCGTGTATCCACGTATGTCTACGCCATTAACGTCTGAGTGATTCCGCGTGTCTGTACACGCCGTCAAAAGTCCGCGCGAAACAAAGCAAAATGTAGATCTACATCTGGGGAGCGATCTTTTTTTTCCTAGGCTGGTGTGAACGGGTATGTTTAGGTACGGGGTTGAGGTAGTTCATATATTTATATATACAGTAATAACGTTAAGTCAACGGCGTTCATAAACACACTGAAAAGCGATTATGCGTCTTGATAGCACGGCAAAAATGGAAATACGAATTGGCGTGTCATACACACGCTACTTCATGAGATCAGTCTGCAATTATAGAAAACAAGAATGAACGAATTAATTAAAACGAATTTAATAATGTAGATAATGTAAAATAATAATATTGACGCACATGCTTTTCTTTCTCATTATTTCAACATCTCTCTCTCTCAAATACCTGCATTAATAACTGAATTATGAATGTAATTTGATACGTCTGACTGATCATGCCTAAGCGTGTGTTCAGCGCGTTCAGTCTGTGTTCAGCTACAGTCGAGGGAAACAGTCGGTCTTCGAATATTTCATCGAGTCGTAAGTTTGTCCCCATCATCAGTGGCTCAAACCTCCGTTACTAACTCTAAAATGACGTTTTGGAATTAGGCATGGGATTAGATGCGTAAGAAATGAGTCCTACATACGAGAGCGCTTTAAAGTAAAAAACTTGACAAATGTCTTGAAATGCATCATCCGAACAATGTTTTGAGGTGTGGTAACTGTAGTTTAAGCGGAATAATTGACTCCAGACCGTTGAATTATTAGAAAAATAATCTAACGATAGCTTTGTGACCGCATTACCACGGCCTGTCGTCAATTAATCCTTACATTTTGTAAGCCATTTTCCTCTTAACGGCCATAGCTTCGAAATGTATGTGACCTCAGCTTATAGGAACGTACAATGTAGGCAAAACCTCTCACACACACACTCAGGCAGTCTCATTACGTGCGATGTGACCCCATTATTGCGCATCCCTGAAGTATCATTCAGCATTGAGTGCCATCCATCAGGCAGTCCTCTAAAACAGCCAAAAGAATTAAAGATTTTATCCAACATTCAGCATCTACACATCTTCCCCTGGACTGATCATCAATACTCCTTAACGTAAACCTCTACAGACATCCTATATACTCAAACACACACTCTCTCTTCCGTCAGCTTTGAAACATTTGACTTTATTTTTAGCCTGATCCATATGTAGTGTGGGCGTAGAGCCGTTTACGGGCGACTCCGAGTCCTGGTGTTTATAAATAGCCGGAGCGAGCATTATTCCCACATCATCAATCACATCGGGCGCGAGGGAGAGACTCGAGGGTGTAGTTCTGAGCGGGACGGGCTAATCTGGAGGGGAACAGATGCCGGCGCCTCCGAAGATGAGGGATGATTCGGGAAGGGCGGATTTGTAACTGGTGTACAAGCCTAGAAATATATGGAGCGAGAGAGACACGAGTCTCACAGAATTCAGTATTTTCTCTCATACATGCGCAATTCTAAACAAATTATTGCCCATACACACAAGTCTATTCAGCTGAAATGTGACATTGACGCAGACACACACTTGTCTTTTTTTCAATGCCGTCAACTCACTCCTAAACACTGAGAGAGGAACACACACACACACACACAGAGGAATCTTTTCATCTTGTAACCATGGCAGTTGGTAGAATACAGTAGGAATCCAGCCGATAACAAAGTGCTTACATAACTCTTGCATTGCCAAGCCCGACTCCTACCTTGCACACCTCTTTCCCTTTTCCTTCTGCCTCTCACGTATGCGTTCCCTCTCTATGTTCCCAGCATGACCCCTCTGTAACAGTCCCATCATTAGGCATTGCAATGGTGACACGTCATTGGTATCTCTCTTTCAGTCCCAAACTCGCCTTTGGTTTTCAGCACAATCGATGTGATTATAGTTTATAATGTTTTAAATATGGATATTTTTCTTACACAAATGCATTGCTTCGCTTAATTCTGAAGGCCTTTATTAAACTCCCATAGCTGTATGGATTACTTTCATGATGGATGGATGCACTTTCAAGTGAAATTGTCACTCTCAGTATAAAGCTTATAACCCTGAGAGAGTCATACGCTCTAAACGTTGCTGGGTTGTTTCAACCCAAATTTGGGTCAAATATGGACAAACCCAAATGTTGGGATAAAAATGTCATTCAAAAATTGAACCCAACTTCAACTATCACTAAATTACATTTTTAACCCAGCATTTGGGTTTGTCCATATATGACCCAAATTTAAATTGAAACAACCCAGCATTGTTTAGAGTGTATACACCTACTGTATAAGGATGGCTTCAGTGTGAGTAAATCATGGTCTAATTTAAATTAAGGCCGTTGCTCGCTTTGCTTTTCAGAAGCTACTGTACTTTATTTATTATTTATCACTGCAACTGTTCCATCATTTGTCATTGCAAAGTATCCCGGACACGTGTCACGTCATTGTAGCGGAAAAAGCTACGCAATTCTCAGGTTAAGGCTGTGGTTTTCAGTGCAATCAGGCTACATGTATGCCTGGAAACCTGGATTTCAAGCATTGATTATCGATCTCCTCTGCAGGACAGAACTAGAATCTGAGGATGAAATGAGTAGCGATCCTTACCTCCCGCAGTTCATGTGCCACATCTTTCAGCTCTTTGAGGATTCCTTCCAGCTGCTCGATCACCATCTTCATGTGGCAGCGGATCTGTTCTCTCTGACTGCGGGTCTCAGAGGGTTCCCGGGCTTGAGCTCCGCTCTGGGACATCCTTCACAGGCTTCTCACGGGCCGGGGAACGGAGCGCTGAGGGCAGGGCCGAGCCGAGCCACGATCCATGTCTGGGGCCTCCGGGAGCCGCAGTGCTACTGATCCGATCTGGGGCTCGGGACACACGGGAAGGGTTCAACATCTTAAATACGCCTGGGCAGCCGAGAGACCTCGCTGGGTCTGGGGTCAAGCCTCCTCCTGAGGTGTACGACGGGGCATCTTCGGGAGACCGGCGCGGATGGGACGGGGGATGCTGGAATCATCGAAGGACGCTATATCCGAGAAATACACACTCCAGGGGGGAGAAACAAAACGTGGTTCATTTCATCGTAGTCCTTACGGGCGATTCTGGATGGAAAGCTGGGGTCTATGACGCAGAATTCCTCTGTTGCATGAAGACATGCTTGTTTTCAGCCGCTGATCCACGGCAAACTCTCATAAAATCCAATTTAGGAAGAAAAAGGAAACTCCCAAAGTTGTTTTGCATTAAAAAGTCTTTTTTGCTTGGGTTTGAAGTAAAAAAAAAAAGTCAAACCAAAAGATGAAATATTCCAACTTTCATTTTCCTTGAACTGGATCTGGAATAAAATGAGAGAGAGACACAGAGAGAGACAGAGAGAGAGAGGGGTGGCATGTTAGTCCAGTCAAAATCAGACAGTGTCCTTCTACATTATACGTATGTTTGTCCTTGCGCATTTGCTAAACCAAGGCAAACGACTTAATGCTGTCAGAGCGCTCGGCAAAATTACAACCACACTTACAAATAAGTGTTGCGAAGATGTTTCACGCGTAACCCCCCACGGGGTGTCAGACGAAACGCTGCATCCTTCGCTCCGGGTCAGAGACGCATTTCTCGCACATTTCCTTAAATGGAGACGGATCACAATCTCTCATGCCCTTTTTGAATAGCGCTTTGTTCCTCAAAAAGGATGGAAATCATCAGAAGAGGTAAATTCCATGTCTTTTTGCTCCGAGGGAAAGAAATAGGACAACTTGACCCTTCAGAACCTCTCCTGCTGACAAAATTGGCAGGAGGCAATTTTTCACAACACCTGGAAAGACAGGAAGGAGAGCAATTTCTCTGTGTATCTGGTCACGTCTCTCTCCCTGTCATATTCTCTCAGACACACATCTTGAGTCTCTCTTTTAACCGTGCTCAGGCTTCAATTTACTACACAGAATCAATTACAGACAGCAAAGAGAGACCAAGAAGAACAGATACAAATGAACACGCTCACCAAATTGAATCGCACCAGCCCCAGTGGAAATAGTCTTCATATCACAGTGGTCTCTCCGCTGGTCAGTGATGTGCAGGTTTGCCTTTCCTCGCTCCTGAGAAGGAACGGCAGGAGCACAGTTTTCGGATCATCCTGTCGTCAGTCATCAGTCTCCCTCCCACTTCTCTCTCCCTTTCCCACACACAATCCCACTCTTTTATGTCTTTCCTTTCACTTGTCCGTTCAGCCACACTCGCCCACCGTCAGAAGGAGGGTTCGTTCAGATCTGTCCTTCAGTGGGAGGAGGAGGAGGAGGAGGAGAGATTGGCCCCGGTTCCCCTCTCTTCTGGAGCCCTGGTTTCTTCAGTCCTGCGTGGAATCCTGGAACTCCTTGTTGCCGCGGCGATCACTAGATTCCGTCTCGCATTCCGTCTCCCCGGTGATGCTGACACCTCCTGTCGCCGTGACGATGGAGGGATGCTGCCTTTGCCTCTGATTTGAAACCTTGTGGATTCACACGCACACTGGTCCCCTCTCTCTCTCTCTCTCTTTCTCTCTCTCTCTCTCTCTCTCTCTCTCTCTCCCTGCCAGATGGAGGGAGGAAGAGGCTGGAGTTTATGGACAGGCTTTGGCTGCTAGTGGAGACGGCTCTCTCACTGCCTCTGAGGGGGGGTGAGAGGAGGGACCGGTTTAAAGAGACAGTAGCGAGACTCACACTGTAGTCTGTATATTCATAGCCCTCCATTTTATTTATAGGTGCATATAACCCTTCCCTCTCCTAGTGTATGGTATACAGCCCTTTTTACACAGTACACATTTTCGTTTCATCTTTAACGTTTTAAAATAGTGTGTTGTTTTAACCCAATTTTGGGTCAAATATGGACAAACACAAACGTTGGGTTAAAAATGCAATGAAAGATTAACCCATTGGCTGGGTTTGTCCATATTTGACCCAAATTTGGGTTGAAACAAAGTGTTTTTGAGACATAATAAACTTCCTGTTTTGAATATTTTGTCTAGTATGTATTATGCACAAATCTGGGAGGGTTTCTGTGGTGTTATGTTCGTTCTCCAGCCACTCACAGGCACCGACAAATGATGCTGAGTAAAATATTCCCTTTTGTATCTTCCTCTTTGATCAATAAAACATTTCCCCCTTCATAACCTCTGCACATTAACACAATGTGCACACTTGGCATCAAACATATGTTTAGAGTCGGCGCACTGAGCTCTGTATTGACTTTCTCTGTATTTGTTCTTCTGTAATCATTTCAACTGCAATCACTCAATTCACCCTGTGCTTTGGGGATCATTGCAGCTTATTTGGGGATTTTTAAAACCTTTTTAGTTGATAATGTAACATTTCATATGCAGGTCTTTCTTTCTCGTATTCATTTAACCATCCAGCAGAACAAAAGCTCGAAACCTAAACTTACCTTTTAAAGCGTACCTCATTTGAGCTTCATCTGATATTCTCTTCAGGAAATTCTAATCTAGCTCCAGTATGACGGGTGTATAATGGGTTAATTAAGGGTCTATTATTGATCTACAGCTATGAAGAGTGTGATGATGGGTGAATTCTCCATTTCCAAAAGCAAATGCATCCCAAAGGCTCTACGTATCTGTGAAATAAGATTATCTATAATGCTTCGGGTGCTTGAATTCGCTTATACGTAATGCCAATGTGTGTAGCTGTGTGTGTGTGAGGCTGATGTGGCATTATTCTCACAGATCTGTGTAGAAGTGTTCGTAGTGCTGAATGACAGAAAGATGTCCTTGCGATCCTTTAAAAGTCGCAGATCATTCCAAAGTCTCTTAAACACTTTTACAGTCATCCATAATCCTGTTTAGCGTAATTTGGTGTCTAATGAACATTGATAACGGAGTCTGCTGTAGCACATTTGCAATCGTTGAAGAATCATCGACACACACACACACACACACTGGTTTGACTGCCTTGGTCGTCCCTCTCCTGTCGGTATGATATTTCTTCAACGCTAAGGTCATTCTGACTGCTGGTTTTTACTAGCGGAGCTGGAGCGAGGCCAAGGAAATATCAGCCCCACTTAATATTTCTGTCCCGGATTTATTGCACCTGGCCCGATTATGGGGAAGTTTTATAGAACGCAATATTTTTCTAGCAGGGCCTCACGCTGGTGCTTTCACAGGTGTACCTCCAGAGGAAATCACTCGGGTAATGTGGTACTACAGAGAGAGGGCGAGGGAATAAAGAGAGAGAGAGAGAGAGTGTTGGAGAAGAAGAAAGCGAGAGTCTAGTGGGAGTTTATTTGACCACTTCTGTTTACACAGCATTGAGCAATCATAGTCCAGTTATTTGATACTTCAAGATCAAGTATCTTTTTATTAGACGAGTCAGTGTTTGGCTGGCTTGCTGCGCGCCAAGATACAGCCAACGTGTCTCAGTGTGTGTGAGGATTTATTTTTTCTCATAAACCAAAACTTGAGGGACCCGGCCGGTCGATCTTCCTGTTTCCTTGTCAAAATACAGCCCGCCGTCCATCACAGCCAGAGCGCACTATTCGCCAGCGACTGCATGCTCTTTTACAGCGCGTATGAAGCACACATAATGTTTTCTTATTGCAAAGCTGTGATTCTCCTCTCCACAAGGTGGCGCAGTGTGTGTTAGTGAAGTCCCTGAAACTCACAAAAGAGCAACACAGAGAACACTGGACCTGTGGCATCAGCATCTGCTGTGCATTTACAAGAATGCTTTGGAAATACATTTGGAATTTCTGTTAGAAAATATGCAGTGTTGGGTTAGTACATCATTATTAAATTAACACAATATTTATGTGAAGAAGACGTGAGTCTTTCAGAACATTTGAGAAGGTGTTTTATTTCATTTTAATTTTACACATGAGATCAACAAAAATAAAGCAGGGTTATGTATATATATATATATATATATAAATCAGCTGTAATATAATAGAAATAAACCTTTTTTTCAACTAGCTGGCATTTTTTTATTTAGTGATGTACTAAAAGTACAAAAAATATTAAAAATGAATAAAAACTAAAACTTTCTTCAAACAGACTGTTCAAATCAGAGGCTAAAATCAATTGGCTGTGATACTTCAGTGTAAACGCCCACTGCTGTGATTGGCTGTGAGACTCTAGTGTAAACACCCACTGCTGTGATTGGCTGTGATACTTCAGTGTAAACGCCCACTGCTGTGATTGGCTGTGAGACTTCAGTGTAAACGCCCACTGCTGTGATTGGCTGTGAGACTTCAGTGTAAACGCCCACTGCTGTGATTGGCTGTGAGACTTCAGTGTAAACGCCCACTGCTGTGATTGGCTGCTGTAAGACTTCAGTGTAAACGCTCACTGCTGTGATTGGCTGTGAGACTTCAGTGTGAACGCCCACTGCTGTGATTGGCTATGAGACTTCAGTGTAAACACCCACTGCTGTGATTGGCTGTGAGACTTCAGTGTAAACGCCCACTGCTGTGATTGGCTGTGAGACTTCAGTGTAAATGCCCACTGCTGTGATTGGCTGTGAGACTTCAGTGTAAACGCCCACTGCTGTGATTGGCTGTGAGACTTCAGTGTAAACGCCCACTGCTGTGATTGGCTGTGAGACTTCAGTGTAAACACCCACTGCTGTGATTGGCTGTGAGACTTCAGTGTAAACGCCCACTGCTGTGATTGGCTGTGAGACTCTAGTGTAAACACCCACTGCTGTGATTGGCTGTGAGACTTCAGTGTAAACGCCCACTGCTGTGATTGGCTGTGAATGTAAACCTATAAGTGCACGGTTTGAAATATAAAATTGGGACCATAACATTTCACTTTTTATTGCACATTAAGCCAGCTAAAAGGCCGCAGCCATATGCATTACAGTGACTTTACCACAAATATGTTTTTTACAGAACTGAGAATAGCTCAAGCAATGATAAAATCACTATAACACACATCATCAAGTGACTAATTGCTTTATTTCACCTCCCCACATTTATAGACCTGAACTTCACAGTTTACATTTTTCGAGCTCATTTTCCTTATTCGTCAGATGTGTGTGTGAGCGAGTAGCTTGCCATGATGTTATTTCAGTGCCTCTGCAGGACGGTTAGACATGTAAGTGATTATTTGGGAGCATTTACTGGCAGCTGAGCGAGAGAAAGAGGGGTCGCCCAGCCACTCTTCTTCCTTATGGGTAATCAGTGTGTCCTCCTGTCCTCACGGTCCTCGTTTGCCCTTGGCCCTGATGCCGAGAAGCTCGAGGACGAACTGCGCATCACCAATCACCCTCGGCTTCCCCGAACGAGCCGAAGCTCCTGATTCCTCATTCAGCAGGAGACCCACCAACACAGCCAGATCCTCCTTTAGAGCCACGCACCTTTCCGGAAACTCAACGTTACGCCAGTTATGTAATGCTTCAGAAACCGGACTGCAATGTCAGTGCATGATGATGTATAGGATGTGATGTGGAGATTGACACACGGGGTGTTTGACTGAGAAGTGCAGATTACTGGTGCCGGCATCTTTTGATTCACTCGCAGCTCGAGCAAACATAATCAAGGCCGAGGTGTCACTCAATATCATCGCTATGGAGACGAGTGCAGATGCTGTGTCATTCTAGCACTCTCCGCTTAGATAACGTCTCATTTTACCTGGCTTGGCTTCAGTAAATAAAGGAAACAGACGAGCTAGATCGGCTTTTGACTGAAGCTGCCATTGGTGTTACAGCAACTAAACACAGATTTCGGGGAATGGAGGCAGTGGGGATTGTCTAATGCTTTGTGCATGTATCTTTTCCAGAATAGGTCTATAAAATAATTGATATGATATGATATGATATGATATACTCAAACGCAACAAAGAAGAAGAAATTTGTAACATGCTCTTTTCCACATTATGTTGAGCTAGCGCTCTATGCACTGTATTTCTTGTCTTCACAATGCGTACGATAGCTTTGTGTGACGATGAAAAATAAAGATATTGAACTATTTAAATATTAATAGTCCAATATTTAGCGATATTATCCACTGGGAATCTTGTTGTCCTCTGAAGCTCTTAAATTGAATATGCTACCTTTAGACGTCGCATAACAATAGAGACCGTTAGGGCTTTTCAATGCGTTTAAAGGCTCATTCCTGTTTTTATTATTATTGTTTGTTTTTTTTTTCGAAAAATATTATTGTTACTTTAAATAAAATTTTATTTTACTGAAATGAGTGCCAAACAATCATTTGTCATTTTCAATTAATTTAACTTGATTTAAAAATGACCAAAAACACATCAAATTTAATACAATTTTTGTATAATATATAATCGCAATAATAAATAATCACATTCAAAAATGTAATACAAACTGTAATAATAAATTGAAGATAGAAATTCATTTGGGTTAGAAACCACAGTTTTGGGGTGAACTATCCCTTTCATAAACTACGATGACTCAACTCAATTTGACCCTTTTCAATTAACTATTCAATCTCATTTTCTTTATACTCCAGAAATGAAATGGAATGAATGCATGTTGGCCTTGCCCTTGGAGTCTGCCTCAGCGAATCAATATAGAATAACAGAAATGCAAAACAGAATTTAATACTTAATATCTAGAAATAAATGCACGCAGGGTGCCTGTCTTA